CTTTTTAAGGGCAGCTGCAGCTCCTACAAAAAGTAAAAAGAGAAAGTATGCGATTCAGAACGCACCCTATATGTTTGTGAGGTGTGTTTAATGTTTACATCTTCAGTAGGAACCAATGGACTTGGAGCTGAGAGCCATGGACAGGAAGTCAGAAAGTACTGAGAGACGGACTACAACCTGATCACCAGGAGAAAATGTTGGCGTACTTTTCTGCAAACCACAAATTTGTTAGATTTGTATGTTTCATATGCATTGTATCAATGTTTCTAAATGATGTAGTGTATGAGCTGACTTTGCGATGGGGACGTGGAGGGGATGGTGGATGGCGTGAACTACCAGATGCCTGCAAAGCTGCAGATCAGTGTTTATGACCAAGGAACAATGAAACCAGTTGTCTTTTAGCAAGTCATCACTGTGTTTCCAGCAGATTTTCTGGCAGCAAACCTTGGTGTTTAGTAGCAACCCATTTCTCGCAGTTATTGCGCCACGAAAAGCAGATGCTTTTTACCAAGACATCACAAGTGGGGTTTCCATCCACCTATTTTTATTCTTATTTTCAAAAACTGCCAAAAAAAAAAAACTTGGATGGAAACGCTAGAAATTCGAAAAAAGACTGAAAATTCGCAAAAAGGTTTTTTTCAGGGTGGATTTGTCAGCGTATCGATAAAAGGAAAATGCGACTTTTTGCTATGGAAACAGGTTTTGCGAATAAATGATGACGTACCGGCACACAGATCCTCAAATGTGGCCCTTGACATACGGAAATGTTTCAGCCAGAGTTCGTGAGTGAAATGCTGCTGGACAACTACTTCCCAAAAGTCCTTCACACGCCTACGTTCCCATACAGACGGAGAACGACGCGGTGGTCTCCTTCCAGCTATTTCCGACAGTACTCTTAACATTAAACATCTTCTTTGTAGTCTCTTCTTCAAGATGGTTAGCTACGCTGTGAATGCTGACAAAATGCTCACCAGAGTTCTCCCAAGAGCCGACAGGTTTATCAGGAATCTGTCCATGGTCAGTTGTTGAGTGTCAATTGAGTGTGTTGTTGTTTACAGTGGGCATAAGACGCTCTCTTATGACGTCATCTCATGGCGCACTCTTCTTCTACGGGGGTGCTTTTATTTTGTTAATTTTTCACAAGAAGCGCCACCTACTGCTCTTCCTGTTGAATCCCAATAATTGCAAAACAATAACGAATGGAAACGGGCATAAATTCGCATTTTCTTTTGCGCATTTTCACAAAATTCGCTCAAAAATTTCGATACATTTGGATGGAAACCCCACTACTGCTAACTTTTCCACCATGGTTGTGCCACCAAAACCAGGTATTTTAAGCCAAAACTTGATCTTTTCCCAACCTTAACCAACTGGTTTTTGTGCCTAAACCTAACCACTTGTATCTGCTACATAATAATGTTCAAATGTAACGATGCCAACATTTTTTTCTGATGACTGGGTTGCGGATGACGCTTTTCATTTGATTTGTTGATGCCTTACCCTTTAAATATGAGAGGAAAAAGTCTGTTTGTGCAGCCTTGCCAGAAAATTTAACAATAATTTTACAATAAAATTTTAATGGGAATAAATGGCCCTTGATTTAGACTATAAACAAGCCATCACTGTGTTTCCAGTGGCTTTTCAGGCACCAAACTTGTGGTGGTTGTTAGCAACCCGTCGCTGTTTTTCTACCAGTTATAGTACCATGACCAGAGACATTGACAACTTTTCCACTTTGCCACTAAAACTGGGTATTTTATGCCAAAACTTTTCCTGAACCTTAACGAAGTGTTTTTGTGCCTAAACCTAACCACATGTATCTGCTGCATAATAACGTTCAAATGTAATATATCTGTGGTTTGTAGAAATGTACATTGCCAACATTTTTTTTCTGATTGGTTGCAGACTACGCTGTTTTGTTGATGTTGAAAGAAACATGTAAAATAACAGCCTTATCCTTTAAATATGAAAAAAATGTCTGTTTCATACTCTGGTTTTGCAGCCTTGCCAGAAAATTAAATATTAACTATATAAGAATTTAAATAAGAATAAATGGCCATTGATTTGGACCATAATGAAGCACTAAAATACATTTACTTTTATGGGTTTCTGCCTGATTCACCACACTTGGATGGAGACTAAATTGATTTCTTCAGTGACAAAACCAAGTAATTTTTCCACATTTTATTGTCCACATACAGTTTGAATATACATTTAATTGCTCTGAGCCTTCATAAAATTTCATTACTTTCTGTTTTACTGGACAGTTTTTGTGTCCCACGGTGGTATAAAGGCAGAAAACCCTCCCAGAATCATTTCATATTTGCACATTTGGATTTTTTTTGGCATGAAAATAATCAGACGTAAAATCATTTCATATTTGCACAAATCATCAGGTGTTGGTGAACGTAAGTGCAGGAGTATTGGTATCAGTATTGATCTTCAAACACTGGTATCGGTCCTTCTCACACACACACACACACACACACACACACACACACAGAGCCGTTTCCCCTCCAGCAGCTGCAGATTTGTGAGTTACGAAGCGCAGCAGCTCGGCAATGAGAGAGGCCGGGGAGGTCAGACATGTTTGTGGTTGCGTTCAGCCTCAGCTGGTGCAGCAGATGTTTTCCTTAAAAATTGCTCAATCGCTTTCGCACCTGTTCTTCCTGTCGGTGTGAAAAGCCAGCGTGGATTATATTTCGTTCTCTAACAAAAACATGCCAAAAAGAAAACATTGATCAAACTTCACTGTTAGTTATCTGTAACACACAGACTGCTGCTCTGTTGTGTTCATTTGTTTTGTTGATATATCAGCTCCTCATTTAAACAGGCTGAATTAATTAGAGTTATTAATCATCTTAAAAGCCTGGCGTGCATCTTATTGAGATGATAGACATTTGTTACTGACCTCGGCCAATAGGAGGCAGTGTTAGATGTCAAATCGACCGTGACTCCTGCAGTGTTGGACAGCAGGATCCATCCTTGACTTATGCAGACTGACCTTGTCATGTAGTGGTTGTTTTCTGCTGCAGCTGATCGCTGTCTTTATATGCAGAGCTGCAGATGTTTGTGTTTAGATGGTGTTTGTTGAGAGTTTAACTGCATTTGTTGTCATTTTTGCTGTTTTGTCATGGACTTGGACTTGCTTATGGTGCTGGAGGAAGGACTCAGATTAAGCAAAGATGACAAGAAAAAAATTGTACTGTATTCCAGCTTCCCAAACATGAGGATTTGTTGCTTCTTCTTTCTTTGTTTTATATTATTGTAAATGTAATTTTATTTATTTATTCATTTCCAAAACTAGACATTTGAAGACGTCACCTTGGACTCTGGGAACAACAATTTTCTGACATATTTTATAGACCAAATGTACCAAATTAATCAGTTAATGGACAAAATGATTTTATGATGATGATTTTCATGTGTTGCATGTAAAACCCAAGCCTGCAAGACATGTAAGTGATACCTAAAGCTCTTTTACAGATATGTGGGAAACAAAATATGGTAAAATATACAATTAATATCGAAAAAATTAAAATTTGTCAGTTGTCCCTTGGTCTGATTTTACTTGAGTAAATTATACTTTGAAATGTTTGCAGACCTACTGTTGGTTTTCACAGCAGACAGGAGGGACAGTGAACTGTACATCAGTGTGTTTTCTTTTCCCACAGTAGCCTGCTGCCATAGTGAGAGCAGAAACAACACGGCCATCATTTCCCAGAGGCATGACGTCACGATGCCTTCAGGGACATCTCGTAGATATGTACTTCACAGTATAGATTTTGGAAATATAGCAGTATAGCCCTGTCAGAAAACAGGAAAAAATATCTTTCTGACAAAAAAAGTTGTTTCACTGGCTTCATGAAATAACACATGATGTTTATTCATACAGACACTTCAAAGAAACTTCCCAGTGTAGATCCAACACTTTAATAATACAAATATAGTAATTAATGTATATTTATACTAAGAGTGAAATTGAGTAAATAGAATATAATAACTTCAAAGAAATTTAACAAATTGATTTATAGGAAATAAACGTAATACTTTGAGGATGACTATGATATCTTTTTCTTCTAATTTATATCTAGAGTGGAATTCACATGTTAAAACAGTATTAGAACAGCTCTCATGTGCTGAAGGAGAAAACACCACTGCAAATGTGAAGTACACCAAATCAATAACGGAATAAACATATAATATCTTGTAAATACATGATTGTTGCATCATGCAAACATTTGTGCAAATATATATGTGCAGACCTAATGAAGTGTATGTAGCTTATATAATATATTGCAATCAATACAATGGTTTTATTCATATTTTTGTAACATAACGTCTTATAAAACAGTTTTAACACCAGCTGATTGTTGGTTGTTGACCGCAGGGATTAAGGTTGAGCACAAAATTGTCCATTGTCTCAGTTGATTGATGAATTGTTTTGTCAGTAAGTTGTTAGAAAATTGTGAAACATGCCCAGTGATATTTCAAAAAGCCCAATGGGACTTCTTCAGAAATAATCTTTTATCCGACCTACAGTCAAAAATAAATCCAAAAATATTTAGGTTATTATCATGTATGATGAAGAAAAGCATCTTAACTTTCAGATTTAAGAAGCATGACGGGCTTTTTACGTAATAAAAATGCCTAAAACGATTATTCACTGATCAAAATAGTTGTTAATTGATTTTCTGTTGATTTAATATTGATTATTTGACTGATCTTTGTAGCTGTAGTTTTTTTGCATTGCCATGAGTTCTCAGAATGAATAGAAACAGTGTTCTCTGATATTTCCTACGGCCCTGAAGGCAGCACATGGCTGTGGGCGTGGTTTAGAAAAGCCCCAGTGTGAGTCATGACTCTGTGAGAAGCGATGATCCAACACAGAGGCTGATCCTCAGACATCAGCAGCACCGAGTCTCTGGTTTAGAAACAGAAATAAAAAGTAAAGATGACTCCTCCGCCGCTGTGACTGGACTCTCGGCTCCGCGGGCTCCATGGTCTTTGTCCCGGGGATGCAAACCGAGGCGCGCAGCGTCAATCCGGGACAGCTGGTCGAGATGTTTGACTCGTCGTGGAGGGTGCGGAACATTTGGGACGGGGTGAGGCTGGAGGTGACGGAGGACCGCAGCCCGGTGGTCCTGCACAGCCTCACACACCTGGACCCGGACCTGCCGCTGCTGGAGGTGAGGAGGGAGAGTGGCAGGAGCCCGGGGCGGGAGGAGGGTGAAGGGCAAGCAGGGATGAGAGGCGGCTGAGGTCCGTTAGCTGATGCGGTTTGTTGTGGTGTGATTTGGAGGATGTTGAAGCGGGTCCAGGCTGGTTGTGAGGGTCCAGGGTGGGGATGCAAGATTGATCCTGAGCTAATATTTAAATAATGAAACTAAGAAATTAAGTTAAAGTTAATTTAAGTCCATTTACCATTTATTCTCAGAAGTATTTAAAAACTTCACTGCTTCAGCTCTGCGCCTTTTCTTAACTGTTTACCCCACTTTGAATCCACTTTATTTCATATTTAAACACCTGTAGGTGCCACATATACAGTAGATAAGTACAAGATAAATTTATTCTTATCTCACACATCAGATGATGTAATCTAACATGACTAATCCTATATTTTTACCCCCTGTAAAGCCTCATTACAATGATGTAGCTGCTATGTAACCAGCTTATCAATGTCAGATGCTGAGCTGTAGGAAATGAAGGGATAGATGTGAGGTAATATAATGGACATAAACACAAAGTAGTACCAGACATTTTAGTTTGAGACATTGTCTGGCCGTTGTGACACTCCTTAGATGTTGGCACGAGAGCACTGTTACAGGATGACTTGCTTTTTTCGGTGGTTATCACATCAGTACTCCCCCTGCATGCACAATTATTCAGCTCAGTAGTGAACAGAGGCTCAGTGAAACCTTCCACTGCAGGTGACAGTGAATCATGACTTAGTAAATGTAATGGAAATATTGATAATAGTGATATTGAGAATGTTTTTGTCATATCAAGCTGCTATTTCCTGCTTTGTTCTGAAATCTATAGTTGTACTTTTAGTCGATATAGAAGCTGAAAATGTAGATACTGCTCGTACTTTATACAGTGTGTCTGTGTGAGTTATACTGCAGTGCGATAAGGGTCTATTAGAGATAATTAATACTGAGAGTGCTCGTGTGCTGAGCCAAATGCTAGTGCTGCAGCTAATGATCATTTTCATTAGTGTGTAATCTGCTTAGTATGTTTCGATTGTTGGGAAAAAAAGGCAATTACAATATCCCAGATGACATCATCACAGTGCTTGTTGTGTCCGACCAGCAGCCCAAAACTCAAAGAGATTCAATTTACAGTCAAATGGAACAGAAATCATCAAATTGCAGAAGCTGGGAATGTTTGATGACGTAACTCAAAATGTGACTCAAACATTTAAATATCAGATGTAGGTGCTGATTAATTTTCCTGCCGAGCAATTTTTCGATTCATGTCTGACATGAGTATGTTGACATCCTCACACAGATGACATGCTGAAGTTAAGCAGGTAATATGTTTACGGTGCTCTACGGTTAGCCTGTTAATGTTTGCTTATTAGCATTAAATACAAAGTGCAGCTGAGGCTGATGGGATTGCCGTTAGTTCTGCAGGTATTGAGTCATAAATCGAAGTATCAGAGGACCAAATTTCATAATAATCCATCAGGCGTGTCACAGTAACAGAAACTTAGTGGTTGATACCAATACCAGTGCAGTTTCCAGGGATTTCTTTACACAGTTTGATTTCACAGTAAAAAACAAATATAAAACAATACATCCCATGTGCTTCACCTCACACTCCTTTATTAAAAATGCTTATTTAAATTTTTATTGTTAATAAAATCCCTGATGATCAGATCAGAAACATGACTATATAGCCTACAGTATTTGAAAATATTTGTCCTCCATTGTTGTTGTTCAGCACTTGCGCATATAACATGTGAAAGTTGGTCTTGTGGTATTTGTCCCGCCCCTCCTCCACTGTGACTGGACAGCTGGGTAAAAAGTGACATTGACGATCTCAGTGTTTTTACCCAACCTTGGACATTTTTATCTCTCTGCAACCAGAGAAAAAGTCAAACATGCAGCACTCAGCGCAGACTAGAGACATCCAGGGATGACGTTTCTCTGTAGGCTGACGCAGAAGTTAGCATCACCCTGGTTCCCTCATCAAAAGGCCTGTGGCATTTTTCCATAGGATTTTGGATTATTGCAGAAAAGAAGCTCTGCTGCAAACAAACTTTTATGACACTTACATGTTTTGTTCAGGAAAGTAACACCACATTTATGATTTTTTTAAGAATATATGCATTCTCGGAACCCATCGGCTGTATTCGGCGTCTGACTTCCGGCAGACGGCGATACAGCCTCTGGGGGCAGACCCCCGATTTTTTGGCATTCCGGTTTGATTTGGGCGGAGGAGGCGAATTTCCTTTTCCGACATTCCTTTTATATATAAGTAACGTGATTGGTCAATTTCACACGGACTACAAACAGCCTACAACCGGAAACCAGGGCTCTTCCGCTCTTCTTCCGGAGGCAAGATCTCCGGGGTTTGCCTACAGACTCTACATTCACTGAATGTAGAGTCTGTATATAGAGACTAGTCACGCTGCTGGTGTTCGTAGTTCGGCACTCCCAGTACAAAGAATTTAAAAATTCACTGGCCTCAGGAAAAACACTTCTTTTTGATGTTTTAAGGCCGAGCTGTTGCTGAAGTTTGTGCTGGTAGGCGTTTTTCTTCCTCCTTTGGCATTTGATGGTAGACTAGAACACTTGTAGCCGTATATGCTGCCCCGTCAGGTCCGCAAGACCTGTATACCTACTACCTACGATACCTACGGTATTGGAGAAAATCAAGTACCTGAAGGTACCGAAGTATCAGTCCTCGTGACATCCCTACAGCCCATCCAGTAATTGTTGCTAGAGTAAAGGTTATATGTTGACCAAAATCATTAGGATTCATCCTCAGAGGAACACGAATGCCTGAACCGAATTTCACGGCAGTCCATCCAGTAGTTGTTGATGTATTTTAGTCTGGATCAAAGTGGTGGACCAACCCTAAAGCCACTTCTTCTGTACGCTCTGAGCTCATTTCATATCCGTAACTCCACTTCTTTATTTCCTTCTGCGTCACTCTCGTCTTTAACACATGACCCAAAGACGCAGTCATGTTGTTATCTGTGAAAGTGTCTTTTATTATGGATTAAGCAGAACATTCACCAGCACCGTGCTCTTTACTCCCCGTCCATTCGATCAGATCAGGACGGAGGATGAGTAATCATATTTATCGGCCTTATGTAAGGCCTGGGAGCAGACGAGGACATCATAACTGATAGCTTACGAAGACGATCTGATACCATGTTTGCTTTTTGATATTCTCTGGTCTGTTTGTCTTCCTGGACCTGGGCTGATATCAGAACCCTGTTGTATGTTTCCCCGTGCATGTCCTGAGCTCAGAGAGGTAGCTGCAGCTAACCTGCCCTGCCTCTTCCCTCTGCTCTAATCTAATCCGCTCCACGAACACAATTACCTAATGCCTAATCCTCCTCCTGCAGAGGCTGAGGGGTTTCCTCCACAATCGCTGCCTTTCTTCCCGTCAGTCCAGAGGCAGAGGTGGATGTTATTCAATGTCATGGTTCTTTTACAGTGTGAGGGGTCACTGGGGCGGATGTGGAGGAGGGCGGTGGGTTGGATTGGGTTATTTGTTGATCCCTCTGGCTCCATGTAACCAGCATCAGAGCAGTAGAGTCTGTGCGTACTGTATCATATAGCTGAGGGATCAAATGGCTTTGAAATGGACGTGTGAACAGATCCAGTTACAGCTGATAACAAATAATGGTTAACTTCAAGCTGGGTGATAGTTTTTGAATTTTCTTGGTCACAAACAAGCTGAAGTTTAAGTTTCTGTTGATGGGCTGCTGCTTGTGCTTATTGATTAATTCAATATTTGTTAAGTTATGGCCAGACTAAACTTAGCAAGGCCACCAGACACCTCCCGTGATTAGTGCTTGGGATAATTCACGTTTTGATTCTGCATTTTCTGCTAGGGCTCAGTATTGGTATTCAACACCTTTAAGGTATCAACCGAAATAACCCAGTGCCACAAAACCTCTCCAGTGAAACAATACCAGCATTCAGTCCTTGTTGTATCCAGATCTGGGAAAAAATGACTGTTTGAATGGTTTTGCTCACAGTTGGTCACAGCAAGCCTTCTTTGATTTATTGCAAATGTTACAAAAGGTACTCTATGGTATCAGTATCACCTTAAGGCCACTGGTTTTAGTATTAGTGTTGTCAAAAATGGCGATTTATCGATACATATTGATTCTGAGTATTTGAAATGTTTTCATTTTCAGCAGTATCGATACTGTCGATACTACTTTCTTGCTCTTTATTGTCTCCATCAGCATTGACACTCTGGTAATGCTTCAGTGCCCCTGTCACTGTGCTGTCCTCTCGTCACTTGTCTCATTTGCTGCAGTTGCATATAGGCTTTTGCTGCACAATTTTGTTTTTACTTTGACTTAACTTATTTGCTTATTTATCACTTTGCTGTATCAAAATAACTTTTGCAATATGTTAAGTCCAGGTTGATGTCTTCATATTGCTTGTTTTGTCATAAAAAACATATATATAACCCCAAAATGACCCCAAAAGTTAACGGTCGCACAGGACAAAGAAAAGCAGCAATTATTCAAATTGGGACGTTGGAACTAAGAAAAACGTGGCTCTTTTTCTTTAGAAAATTGCTTAAAACTTATTTGGATTTAATTGTTTGATCTTGAGCACAATACCAGAACAATACGGGCCGTTTCATAGTCGACGCAAAGGCACGCAGACGTGAAAGCATTGGTACGCATCAAGACGTATTGACCACCGTGATGCGTGCTTGCGTCTCAAAATGTGTTTGGTTTTTTTTTGTTTTTTTTTTATACGCGCCGCAGCGCTGCATGTAATACCATGCCTCGCCAGTGGGGGTGATAATGCAATCGACGTACTTGAAATTAACCACTTTTTGTTATTCACAGAAGAAGCAGGTATGAAATATGGCGGGCGAGGAGGAAAAACTTTGTGAACTCGTACGGGCACACCCCCATTTATATGACAGTTCTAGTGCCCTGCACTCTAATAAAATAGCAGTACTAGCTAGCTACAGCAGTACT